GAAGTAAAGACTTTTATTTTCTTTGAAGATTTTTTGTTTAAAGATAGACAGTTTTATATTTATTGCCATTTGCTTTTTGGTAGAAGGTTTAAGAAATGGATTTTTTCCCATGTTTTTTCATTTTGTTTTGGAGAAGAAAATGCTTGGAGTTGATGATATATTTAAGAGTCTCCCATGAAATACAACAGTATTAAGTTTAAAATAATACATTATTTTGGGTATTGCATAAGATACTATCTTACTACTAGATTTTAGCATAATGTAGTATTAGTAGGCAATGTTTATAGAAAAGTTTGTGGGAGGAAAAAAACTGTGACTTAGGCATAAGATGAACATTCACAATAGAACTATTTGGTCCAGCTTGTGGAATGACAATCCTGGTGCTAATAAAAATCAACATGTTGAAGTAATGTACTCTAAGAAAGTAGCTCCCACCCCTTTTCAAGTCATGGCACTTAGAATAAAGTTTAAGGATAGCCAAGGCCCTGAGGGAAGGTTTGATGCTGAGATCTGATACCTCCCAAATTTCGTGATATTAAAAAGTATTTTGAAAGCTAACTGTTAAGCTGGGACATAACTAAGTTGTGGTAATGATATCATGAGAGGCTGGCGCGCTGCACAGAGACCAAACAAAGGGAGGAATTTGTCAGTTTGCCCAGTGTTGCATGAAGAAGAGTGGCTTTCAGTGGACATGAGTGTTCTGGTCACTAGCAGCAGGCCAGTGTGGCAGTGGAGAGCCAGCCCACACCACCGGAAACACCACTGGGAAGCCCCTGGAAACACTTAAAAACATGTATCTTAAAAAAAAAAAAATCAAAACACAAGCCAGAAGGAAAAACTACTAGGATTGGTTGTCACAGCACCAAAAATAGTTATACTGTGTCTGGTTTTAATATAAACATATAACTTTGAATTATTTTTTTTAAATTAATTATTCCATATTGGTAGGTGGTACCTGGCACAGCTGAGTTCCATTACAATGAAGTTTAAAAACTAGTGCCCTGTGGTAAATGACCCAGGTTCTCCAAGCCTATAGCAACATGGAAGACACAACTCTTAGGGGTCCACCACCACTTACTGTCATTCTTTGCTGAAGCTGGCTTCTGAGTACTCAACTGGCTTTCCAGAATCTTTGGAATGGGGAGTGAGGTGCAGGGTGGAGATGTTGTCGTGGTGTGATTGTTCCAGTAATTGGACCCGTGTATTTCCCATTACATCTAATTTGTTGGCATTCTGGGTTTTGTGTGTTTAAATGGCCTGAGTCGGTTTCTGAGAATCTTGACTGCTCTTAAATGAACTAATAGTGTCTGATCTCAGAGGTAAAGTTGGCACTCCCTAACCCGCAGGGCCCTTTCTTTCTTTAAAAAAAAATTTATTTATTTTTTTGGTTGATTTCAGAGAGAGAGGAAGTGAGAGGGAGAGAGAGAGAGAAACATCGATGAGAGAGAACATCCATTGGCTGCCTTCTGCATGCCCCCCACTGGGGATTTGGCTTACAACTTGGGCATGTGCCCTGACTGGGAATCGAACTGGCAGTCTCTTATTACGTGGGTCCTATGCTTAATCACTGAGCCACACCATCTGGGCAAAGGCCCTTTATTTCTATATGCAGTAGTTTCTTATGTAATTGTTTTTAATTTTTTTTAAATTTTAAATAATTCTAACAATCATTTAGTATCACTCAGCTAACAATTATTTTCATAACAATTAAAATAGCTTTTCAGCTGATATCAGGGACCATGTTTTAGACTTAATCAACAACTTGTGATCTAAATATTTATCATCTTTGCCGGATATTTTAAACTAGGGGCTACTCAGGGCAGGCAGCTATCTTGATAATATGCAAACTCAACCAATTTGTAATTCCTGCCATTCTTAGGTACTCTATGACAAGCACAGAGGGTTTTATTTAGTAGTCTAGTATGTAGTTTTGGAACCTAAATTTTTAATAAACTACCTCTGTTGATTTTTATCAGACTGTTCTAGAACACATTCTTAAAAGTAATTATGTATCAGGATCCCTTGGGGGCATACTTAAAAAATGTGCATTCCTGTCCTGGCCGGTTTGGCTCAGTGGTTAGATCGTGGGCCCAAGAACGAAAGAGTCATGGATTCAGTTCTGGTAAGGGGCATATGCCTTGGTTGTGGTTCGGTCTCCAGCCCTGGTCAGGGTTGTCAGGGAGGCAAGCAGTTGATGTGTCTCTCACATCGCTATTTCTCTCTCTCTCTCTCTCTCTGTCTCTCTCTCTCTCTCTCTCTCCCCCCCCCACCTTCCCTCCCTCCCATTCTATCTGAAGATAAATAGAAAAATATCCTCGGGTGAGGATTAAAAAACAAGAAAGATAAAAATGTGCATTCCTGGGGCCCAACCCCAGAGATTCAGATCCTGTTAGGAAACCAAAACCGAGATGCATGAAAGAATCAAAACAATTAGATGCTAAACTTATTTTAGGTAGTTACTAGTTAATAGATATTTCTTGTTTGATTCAACTGCCCAGTATGGTAGGAATTTAGTGTGTTAGAGAAGTCCTGAACTTATGGAACAGGTGGGACCTTAGGCTTAGAGGAGAGGATTACACACAGGCCTAGAAGAGCAGGGGAAGGCATTAATTCACTGAGGTGTGGGAAGAGCAGAGGCTGAGCAGTGTGCACAAGTGCTCATAAGTGGTGGTGGGACTAGAGATGAGCATGACTGTGCAGAATGCATAGACTCATGTTGTTTGTTCTCACCCTGTGTGTTCCGAGAGGAGTTGGAGTGATGTGTAATAAATGTCACATATTGGATGTGTAGGCTCTTTTGCTGAGACATCTCTTCACTTCTGATCAGTAATCATGAGTGGCAGATAAAATTGACTGGAAGGGTGCCTTCCTCTCTTTTGGTTCCAATTGTATTTCTCTTAAGGGTAGGACTCACTTGAGAAAGATCAACTCCAATAGGGGAGATTGAGTTTCAAAAGCACTCGTAAGGTTTACTTTTGATTTTTAACAAATGTGGGTTTCAGAGGGAACAAAAGTGAATAATGTATTAAGTGTTTTATTCATTCGGTCAGGTAATTAGGCTGGGCTTTGGTTCCTGCCCTGAAGGAGCCCCATCTTCTACCTGGAGCAATACAATTACAACGGTAGTGATAGAATGCCAGGCCAAGCAAAAGGAGGATTGGCTAATTCAGTTTAGAGGTGTCAGGGTCTGGAAAGGCTTCACACAGGAGGTATATACATCTAAGCAGATTCTTGCAGACTGAGTTGGAGTTAGCCAGCTGAGGAGAGGAAGTGTACCAGGAAATAGGAACGCATATGAACAGTCACATTTGCAGCAGAGAACGTGGCGTGAGTGGAGTTGTAAGGAGTTTGGTCCAGAAGGAGCTCAGATGCCTGAAGGGAAGCTGAGGCCAGAGAGGGGTGTGCAGGGCTAGATCATGATGTGTCTCACAGGCCATGCTGTGGGGTTGGATTTTGTCACGAAGGCAATATGGAGCTGTCAGAGAGTTTTAAGCAGTGTTATTTTGTGTTCACCGTGGCTGCAGTATGAATAATGAATTGAAGAGGGCAAGGCCAGAGTTGGAGAGGCACGAGATGAGGACAGCCTGGTCTTGAGCAGGAGGTGGGACTAGAATGTAAAGGGCAGATGGAAACTTAAAAGGTAGGAATAAAAGCACTTGGTGGCCACTTGAGGTTTGGCAGGAGAGGAAGTTCTGACAGTGAGTGGATGGTGTTGTCATACCTTTAGGTGTGGGATAGGAAAGCAGTCAGTTTGGTGGGAAAGATGATGAGTTCATTTAGGAAATATACTGACTTTGAGGTGTTTTGGGGACATCCAAGTAGAAATGTCTGGAGGGCTCTTGTGTAGTGAAATCTGGAGCTCAGGAGGGTATGGGCCAGACATCGGTGTAAATGAGAAAAGATAACTTGAATGTTGTGGTACTAAGTTGATTTAATCTCCAAAGTGTTTCTCAAAGCATCTGCTACTTTCTACACCTCTCCCATCACCTTGGTTCAAGCTACTGTTGCCTTCTAACTGATCTATCTACTTCCATATTAGTCCATTCTTACACAGCTGGCAGAGTGATCTTTTAAAAATGAGATGGAAATTTGTCATTTTCCTGTTTGAAACCCATCATCACCGACTTCCCATTGCCCTTAGAATAGATTCAAACTTCTCACTGTGGCTAGAAGGCCCAGCATGACCTCCTCCCAACCTGCCTTCCTACCTTTCCACATACACCTGGAGTCACACTTCTCCCTCACTTGACCACACTAGTGCTGCACTGGCTTCTTCGAGGCTTCTCCTCTTCTGTCTTACTATGTGCCTAGTTCTTTCTCTTTCCCCAGCCTTTGTTCATGCTGCTCTGCCTAGATTACCATTCCTCTGCCCCTGTGCTGGCTAACTCTTATCTTTCAGGTTTGACCTCAGATATTTTTCAGAGGAGCCTTCTCTGACCTCCTGAGCTATATTAGAGTTGTCCTGCATTTTTCTTTTCTAGCACTTTCTACAATTTGTTATTAGTTTGTTGAGTGTTTGTCCTATATCTGTCTCCATACAATTTCTGTGAGGGCAAAGTCCCCCCTGTGTTTATCATTATATCCCCAGTGTCAGACAGTCCTGAGCATTGATCAGATTTGTTGAATGAATGAGGGTCATAATCTATTCTGAAAAACTTGCAATTTTTATTCTGTCACAGAATAAATAGGGCTGTGGTTCAAGATTTCATCTTCTTTTGACAGTCTATTATATTTTTTACTGTTGTTAAATACTCTTTGCTTCTGGGAGGTTGGGACAGTAAAATTTCAAATCAAATGTTAGGGGTGTTTTCCCTCCCTGTTGCCTGCATTCATTATGGTGACTCTGGTTAGGATGGCCTGACCCATTGTCAGTCTGACAGTGGTAGGGCCACTGCTGAGTTTTGAAATTGGAAAAACTTGAGCTGGGCAGAATTTAATAGCCACCTTTTCCTTCAGCCCTGATTTGGGAAGTGTCCCAATACATGCTGTTTGCATTGCAGCTGTGGGAAAGTCTACCTTTGTGAAGTTACTCACGAAAAGTTACCCAGAGTGGCACGTAGCTACAGAACCTGTAGCAACATGGCAGAATGTCCAGGCTGCTGGCACGCAAAAAGTAAGTTTTCAGTTATGGTGGGTAGTTGGCAGGCATGGGTGAGTAAACTAATTGTAATAATCTAATTTGCTCTGAGTGGGTGAAGTAGCCCAGTTTGAGTCTCCTTTTTAAAATACCTTCCTTCCAGAAAGCAGGCCACGTATACCAGAGGGGATATGACTTGTTTGAATACGTTTAGTTTTTGTTTTTGTGGTTTTTACATGTCTATATAAGTGACTGCTTCTGTTCTGGATGGTTTCCCAAATCATGTCCATCCACTCTGGCTTTGAAGATTAATTTTGTCATTTCTACCTTTAAGTATATTACTGAGGCTGACCATCAGGATTAACAGTTAATTACAGTGATTTTAATGTATTTAGGAAGTATTAAAAATTGGAAAGGAACTTATAGAGTACCTTGTCACACTGTATAACTAACATTTATAAAATACATACTATGTACCAGGTACATATTGTACCAAGCACTGTACATTTCACTTATGCCTTATGGCTTAGGCCCTTGCTCTGTGAAAAGCTGTAGGGTTGGTTTCAACACCAGCCGCATCCGTGTGAGTAAGGAAATACCAGTTTGGACATGGAACTTAGAGGTAGCTGAGGGTGTGGCAGCACTGTGCCTCAGCTGCCACAGACTCCTGCAGCCAGTGGGAACATTCACTGAGTGGCTCATTCTGGTGTTTAACAACAGTTAGAAAGTTCTTGTATGAACCACTTTACATACCTGTGACTCTGAGTCATTGGCTCATGTTCTGCCTCTTAAGCCTTTTAACTTTTCCACATGGCAACCCTTCATGTAGGTGAAGGCAATAATTTGCCTGCTCTTTCTCCCCCTCAAGTCTTCTCTCTTTCAAGCCAAACACCATTTTCCTCCAGACTATTCCTCATTCTGAAGTAACTTTGTCTAGGTCATGAGCTCCAGTTGGTTAGTTTTCTACTTAGAATTTACTAAGAGTGATACTCATAGCTGAACGGGACATTCTGGATGTAATCTAAATGGTCCACAATATCAATGCATTTGTTCTGCATGCTATATGTCTATTATTCCAACTCAGAATTGTGTTTCCTTTTTTTTGGCAGGCACATCATGCTTACTGAGAATATTTGTTTTTTAAATTGTCTTTTTATATTGTGTATGTGAAATTAACTTCCATTTAGAAAATAAATCATGTATCTTTTTCTGAGTATGCCACAGGTCACCTATGGTGGGGATTTAAAAATATGTCCACACATGCCCTGGCCGGTTTGGCTCAGCAGTTAGAGCGCCAGCCTGCGGTCCAGAGAGACCCAGGTTCGGTTCCCGCTAGGGGCACGTACCTTGGTTGCAGTTTGTCCCCGGCCCTGGTTGGTCATGCGGGTGGTGGCCACTCGATGTGTCCCTTTCACATCGATGTTTCTGTCTCTCTCTGTTCCTCTCTCTCCCTCCCACTCTACCTGAACAAAAAAAATGTCCTCCGGTGAGGATAACAACAACAAAAAAAATGTCCACACATTGTTTGATACTCTTTCCTTCAGAGATAAACCTTAACTCTCTCCTTTAGTGTGGGCTAGACTTAGTAACTTGCTTCTAATGAGTAGAATGTAGCATGAATAACAGAACATGACTTTCTTTGGTAGGCCATAAGAGATATTATATCTTTGATCTTGCTCTTTCTTGATCACTTTTGGCCCTGGGGATGCCAGCTACCATGTCATGAAGCGCTGCCTTCTGTGAAGAGGCCCACACAGCAAGGAACTGAGTCCTTACATCAGCTATGTGAGTGAGCCTTCTTGGAAGTGGGCCCTTTGGCCCCAGTCAAGTCTTCAAATGACTGTAACCTCAGCCAGCATCCTGTCTGAAACCTCATGAGAGACCCTGAGACAGAACCACCCAGCTAAGCTGGGTCCTTGACTACAAAAACTGAGATAGTGAGTGTTTTTGTTTAAGCCACCAAATTTCGGCACAATTTGTTATGCAACAATAGATAACTATTACTCCCATAATTCCATTATCCAGAAGTAAAATTAACATTTTGTTCTTTTAGATTTTTTTTCTATAGAGAAAATGTATATAGTATTTACATACACTTACATAAATGTATAAACATATACACTTACTCTTTTTAAACAAAACTGATTGTCACCTGGATGTCACTTTATGTACAAGGTCTTCCTTTCATAGTAATGTTATTTTAATGGTGGCAGCATACTACAGAATATGATATTCTATCATTTAGTTATCCAGTCTTTTATTTAAATATTTAGTTTTCTAATTCTTCCTATTATAAATAATGTTATAATGGTGGATATTCTTGTAGTTCCATCTTTGTTCTTTTTATTAGCTAAAATTTGTGCCCCTTTATATTCTCTTAGGATAATCTAGAACTGGAATTTTGATGTACAGAAATTATTCATCTTATTGACACTTTGGTTATAATCTCCAAAATTTTCCTTCAGAAAAGTTGTACCAATTTCCTTATACTTTCAGCAATACTAGATAATATTCTTTGTCATCTTTGCTAATGGGAGTGGCAAGAAAATGGTGTGTTTTATTTTACATTTCTTTGATTACTAATGAACTGAGAGAGAGAGAGAGAGAGAGAGAGAGAAACATCAGTGTAAAGAGAAACACTGATTGGTTGCCTCCATACATGCCCCAGCCGGGGATCAAACTCGCAATTTAGATATGTGCCCTGACTAGGACTTGAACTGCAACCTTCTTGTACAGAACTGTGCTCCAACCAGCTGAGGCACTTGGCCAGGGCTTTATTAGTATACTTTAGTGAATTTCCTATTCAAACCTCTTGGGATTTTTTTGCCCCAAGAACTTAACCATATGTTAAATATCTTAACTCTTTCTTGTATACTGCTGATACTTTCCCCAGTTTGTCATTTTTTTAATAAATCTTTATATATGATCTATTTTGCAATATAATGCTTATAAGTTTTTATATACTCAAATCTGTCTTTTTCTTCATAGTTGCTGCCTTTGATGTTAAAATTTTTTGGTTTAAAAAACATTTTTTTTTTTAATTGATTTTTTTAGAGGGAAAGGGAGAGATAGATAGAAACATGGATGAGAGAGAACATGGATTGACTGCCTCCTGCATGCCTCTCATTGGGGATTTGGCCCACAACCTGAGCATGTGCCTTGACAGGGAATTGAACGGTAACCTCTTTGTGCATGGGTCAGTGCTCAACCACTGAGCCACACCGGCTGGGCTGGTGTTAAAGTTTAAAAAGACCTCTCACAGACTAAGATTATGAAAACACGTACTTATATTTCTTTCTCTTGCTTTTATGGTTTTACTCTTTATGTTTATTTTAAAAGTTATAGGAGTCTAGGGAATCCCCTTCCATTTGCTACATGGGATGCTGCCTGATTCATGATTGCTAATAAAGCCAATTAGATCTTCAAAAAACAAAAGCAAAAGATATGGAAGTCTAATTTCCCCCAAATAGTTATTTACTTGTCCCAGCAGTATTCTTGTTTAGTTTATGCCTGACTGGTTATACATTTTGTTGTTATTGTGACTGGGATCTGTTTTCCCATCATCTTCTTCAACCTGGTTATTGCTCTTTTATTTATTTACTCATTTTAATTAAATTTATTGGGGTGATGACATTGGTTAATAAGATCATGTAGGTTTCAAGTGTACATTTCTATGATATGATCTGTATATTACATTGTGTGCCCACCATCCCAAGTCAAATCATCTTGGTCACCATGTATTTGGCCCCCTTTACCTTACCTCCCCCTTCCCTTTGGGAACCACCATACTGTTGGTGTCTATGAGTTTCAGTTTTATATTCCACATATGAGTAAAATCATATAGTTCTTGGCTTTTTATGACTGACTTACTTTGCTTAGCATAATATTCTCAAGGTCCCTCCATGCTGTCGCAAATGGCAGTATTTCATCTTTTCTTGTGGCTGAGTGGTATTCCATTGTATATGTGCATCACACCTTCTTTATCCAATCTTCTATCAAAGGGCACTTGGTTGTTTCCATGTCTTGGCCACCGGGAATAATGCTACAGTGAACATAAAGGTGCATATATCTTTGCAAATAAATATTTTCAAAGTTTTTGGGTAGATACCCAGGAGAGAGATTGCTGGGTCATCTGGTAACTGTTCTTAATTTTTTTAGGAACCTCCATACTGTTTGCCATAGTGGCTATACCAATTTATATTCCCACCAGTGGTGCATGAGGGTTCCTTTTTCTCTATAACCTCTCCAACACTTATTAATTACTTTTCTTGTTGATAATAGCCATTCTAACAGGTATGAGGTGGTATCTCATTGTAGTTTTGATTTGCATTTCCCTAATGGCTAGTGAAGTTGAGCATATTTTCATATATCTGTTGGCCGTTTGTTTATCTTCTTGGGAGAGGTGTTCATTTTTTAATTGGATTGTTTGTTTGGTGTTGAGTTGTATGAGTACTCTATATATTTTGGATATTAACCCCTTGCCGGAGCTGTTGTTTGCAAATATATTCCCCTATTTGGTTGGTTGCCTTTTTGTTTTGTTGGTGGTTTCTTCCACTGTGCAGAAGCTTTTTAGTTTAGTCCCATTCATTTATTTTTGCCTTTATTTCCCTTGCCTTTGTGGTTAAATTTATAAAATCTTCTCTAAGACCAAGTTTCATAAGTTTAGCACCTATGTTTTCTTCTGTGTAATTTATTGTTTCAGATTTAATATTTAGGTCTTTGATCCATTTGAATTAATTTTTGTACATGGGACAAACTGTAGTCCAGTTTCATTCTTTTTTTTTACAATATTTGATTTTTAAGTTTATATTTTACACATGTACATAATAAAGCAAATATATTTTTTATTTCACAATATTGAGTTTACAACATTTTAACTATATTTGCTTATTGCACATCCTTCTTCTATCATCAATCCACCAGTCTCGATGTGGCTTCTTCTTTAATTTCGTAGTTGTAGGACTTCCATTCAGCTTGATGTCAGGCAGTTCTGAATGATGGTTATTCTGTAGCTTAGTTGTAATTTTGATGTGGTT